TCATCGAGGGCAAGTTGTCCTCAGTTTCTTGGATTTTGCCTCGCTTTTGGCTTTGCGGCCGCGCTTCTTTGGAGGCGCCAGGTCAGGCTGTTCCTTTTTGAGAGCGCCCTGCTCTTCACCTGAAATTGTCCTCAGTTTCTTGGATTTTACCTCGCTTTTGGCTTTGCGGCCGCGCTTCTTTGGAGGCGCCAGGTCAGGCTGTTCCATTTTGAGGGCACCCTGCTCTTCACCTGAAGTTGTCCTCAGTTTCATGGATTTTGCCTCGCTTTTGGCTTTGCGGCCGCGCTTCTTTGGAGGTGCCAGGTCAGGCTGTTCCTTTTCGAGGGCACCCTGCTCTTCACCTGAAATTGTCCTCAGTTTCTTGGATTTTGCCTCGCTTTTGGCCTTGCGGCCGCGCTTCTTTGGAGGCGCCAGGTCAGGCTGTTCCTTTTTGAGGGCACCCTGCTCTTCACCTGAAATTGTCCTCAGTTTCTTGGATTTTGCCTCGCTTTTGGCTTTGCGGCCGCGCTTCTTTGGAAGCGCCAGGTCAGGTTGTTCCTTTTTGAGGGCACCCTGCTCTTCACCTGAAATTGTCCTCAGTTTCTTAGATTTTGCCTCGCTTTTGTCTATAAGAGCGCGCTTCTTTGTAGGTGCCAGGACAGTTGGCTCCTCCTGGTATAGGATGGGACGCCTGCTGGTCACAATAGACAGGTGCTAAGGACAGAGTCCCACGAGGTGATGGAAGCCTTGTGTTCTGCTAGACAGTATCATCTTCTTGGCCTTAAGGAGAAATTGGCGGAAGACACTGCGGTTTTTGGCGAACGTGATCTTTGTCTCGTCGCTCAAGAACGTCCTGCCGAAGTCTTTCTTCACCGGCTGCTTAGCCGCCTGTTCCAGATACAAGTTAAGCTCCTGAATGGATAGCACAGGCAGTTGGAATGTGCCACAGAACTGAACTATTACACGGACCTCCTGTTTCGTTGGCTTCTTCCACTCACTTGTGTCAAGGAATGCTAAATCCATGTTGGACCATTATACTGAATGTGAAGCCCTCTGTCGGCTTTGGTGGAGTACACTTTCCTTCCTCGGGCAATGCAGCTTTTCTGTCCTGCTTCTCACAAGACAGAGCTACGCAGGATACAGGCCTACGACGTCATAGAAGCCATGTTCCTTACCAGACACTCTCATGTCGATGGCCTCGAAAACGAAGCCCTGGAAGCTTACCAAGTTCCTGGCGTACTTTATCTCCTTCCCATCATCATTCAAGAATGTCTTGCCGGATTTGTCTTCCATCAGCAGCTTGGGTGCCCGTTACAGGTATGTGCACACCTCCTGCTTTGACAAGATGGGCAGCTGGTATTAGCCACAGACACGAGCCAAAATATAGTGTTCCGCTGCAGTTAGCCCCCTGCACTCTGTTGAGTCAAGGAAAGATAAAATTCTCCAGAGGCTTTCTTAGGAAAGAACTGTGTGTTGATGCTGCTTCTCTGTTTTGAAATCTTCCTTCTCAGGAAGAATGTGCAAGCTTTATTGCTGAGTGTCAATATTTCCCACAGTAAGGTCTTCAGAGATCTGACTAGAAATAGCGTCGGATTCTACCTCATCAGTGCTAGTATTTCCCATGTTTTGGACAGTGAGGTCTTCACAGATCTGACTAGAAATAGCGTCGGATTCTACCTCATCAGCGCTAGTATTCCCCATGTTTTGGATAGTGAGGTCTTTACAGATCTGACTAGAAATAGCGTCGGATTCTACCTCATCAGCGCTAGTATTCCCCATGTTTTGGACAGTGAGGTCTTCACAGATCTGACTAGAAATAGCGTCGGATTCTACCTCATCAGCGCTAGTATTCCCCATATTTTAGACAGTGAGGTCTTCACAGATCTGACTAGAAATAGCGTCGGATTCTACCTCATCAGCGCTAGTATTCCCCATGTTTTGGACAGTGAGATCTTCACAGATCTGACTAGAAATAGCGTCGGATTCTACCTCATCAGCGCTAGTATTCCCCATGTTTTGAACAGTGAGATCTTCACAGATCTGACTAGAAATGGTGTCGGATTCTACCTCATGAGCTTTAGTATTTCCCACTTTTGGAGAAATTGACCCTTCACTGTCCTGAGCAGCAGATATCTCAACCTGACTGCATGAATTGGTGACAGATTATTCCTGGTGAGCATTAGTATTCACCACATTTGGAAAAATTAGCCCTTCGGGGTACTAGGAACTCACAGGCTAAGAAATCCTATCAGACTCCTGCTGCTGAACGTCATTGTTTCCCAGGTTTGGGATAATGACTGCTGAAAAGTTGGAAGCAGAAATCTCTGGCTCAGAAAAAGCATCGGACTCTTGCTGTTGAGTGTCAGTATTTCCTGTGGGCAGGGGCATTGGCATCATCTGGTCGCCAACGTCACGTGATTCGGCACCAAAAGAAGAAGTGGAGAGGGGTGATTTGCTATCAGTTCCTTCCTCCCTGCTACCCCTCTCTGCTGCAGGTGCAGTGGCTTGAGCAACGACATCG